AGACAATATTGACTTTGACTTTCAGATGCATTAATTTTCAATACAATAAGTATATGTCCTGAATATGATGTTGATACCGCTATATCTCCGTTTGAGGCGCGAGACAAAAATGTTGGTTGCTCTAGCTATTGCTCGTGCAGATTGCTATAGCTATAGATTGCTTGCTATGTTGCTCGTGCTAGTTGCTCTAGGCATGTTGCTTGTACCAGTTGATCTATAGTTACGTAACAGGTGTTGATGCACGCAACAACGCCGAGTCATCTTTAAAGTATGTCAGGCTTGCCCTCCATTCAGCGCTGCTGCTGCATTCCTACCAACTCGCGGATGCTCTTGTGATGACGTTCTTTAGGGGCCGTACTATAAAAATTCACGTCAATACATGTAGCGGCTGATTTCTCGTCTCTGATTGATGGGCTTTGTTTAAAAAGCCGTCAGAGATTGGCTAAGGAAATTACGAACACTTACTATTTTTTATAGTCCTTGTCCAAGACAGATATCAGAGTTGCAACGATTCCACAGGTGATCGTGAGTGCTAGGCTGTTCTTATTTATATTCCACTTCTGGTAGGCCAGGGAACCTTGGAAAGTTGTCACTGATAGGCTGAGAGGGTTACGATCTTTGTTGGATTCAGTACTATAAAGGGCATGTTTGCGAATGAAGCAGCGGTACAAATTATAACTATTCTCTTGGATTGTTCATTGTTGGCAATGAAAAGTCTGCTGCATGGATCTAATGAAAGAGACCTCGTCAATTACTATCGACCTTGCTTCTGCTCTGTGTAGATTTGAATGGTCCAAAGGCTATATATACGCAATAAAAATATGTACCGGTATCGCGATTTCTGAATAATCCAAACAGCTTCTTAAGATATTTTCTCCTGACCCCCAATTTTTTAGAGCTTTCGCCCAATAATTATGCTACGACAATTAAGTTCCTTTTAATCTCTCCTTTTTTACATAGCTGCGAAATGCAATTACGGTTCATTGTGGTCGTCGTACTGTACATTTTTTACGAGTCGCGAGGCGGCGAGAGGGCGTGGTGGCTCCGCTCGCAAGTGCTGCGCGTCCGCTGCTGCCGTGCGTCGTGCTGACTCGGAGCTGACTCAGCGCATTGTCATGGGTGCAGCATGAGCTGACTCAGCGCTTACACGGCTGCATTGTGGGCTAACTCAGCGCTTATATGACAGCTGCATGAGTTGGCTGCTGCATGAGCTGACGTTGCACGCACTGTCTGAGGATGGAGCTGGCTCAGCTCGTATGTGTGCCTGCGGCTGGAGCTGACAGCTCGTATGTGTGACTGCGGCTGGAGCTGACTCAACTCGTATGTGTGTCTGCGGCTTGAGCTGACTCAGCTCGTATGTGTGTCTGCGGCTCGAGCTGACTCAGCTCGCATGTGTGTCTGCGGCTCGAGCTGACTCAGCTCGTACGTGTGTCTGCGGCTGGAGCTGACTCAGCTCGTATGTGTGTCTGCGGCTTGAGCTGACTCAGCTCGTATGTGTGCCTTCGGCTTGAGCTGAATGAATCGTCATTGAGCTGACTTAAATGCCTATTCATGTCCATTTTTACGTGTTCTGATAAGTAATTCTTCTACTTATCGAGGTTAATTTCTTAAAAATTATTAAAAACAATTTGTCTGAAAGTCTGAAAGCGCAATTAGTCATTTCAGTGCTCCTTATGCCGTGCCAATTAGGTTTCGTCAGATCTTTGATGGACTCGTAATTCGACAAGTTGTGAACCCATTTAATTTTTATTTTATTTTCATGTTTATGTCCTTGCTTTGTCAACAATGCAGCAACGTATATTCCAAGGTCTAAAATGAAAAATTACTTCTGTTGCCAAATATCCAGATTCAGCTAAAGTTCTAAACTTAAACTATATTTCTACTCCTAAACTTTTCAATTAAAGTACATACGCAAAAATTCGCGCTCAACCAAAGATTATTTTATTCAAGTGCTTATTTAAATGCTCGATATGTGATTTTTCTTTATTTGTACTGACTAGATGTTATGAAATATCGGGTTTCCCACCCAATTTTAATACTCTATGTTTCCAAGTTCAACTTGAGATATTTATTATACGTATATATTGACCATTTTTTGAATGTTTTGATAACCTCCGTAATGTTGGCCTTCAAAAATAGTCTATATGATAAGCCTCTCCGAATTTTAAGTCGATTACTAACAATTACTTTGAGTTAAGAGTGATGTTAATGTATGTTTGTATTGCAGAAGCTGGAGTTTCATGGGGTGATGAGGTTCTACTTCCAAGACAGCGGCCAGAAGGTGGCGACGAAATGCATCCGCGTGACAAGCCTCGCCTCCACGCGCCAGGTCATCGCGACGCTCGTCGAGAAATTCAGACCTGACATGCGCATGCTGAGTGCACCCAGCTACCTGCTCTACGAGATCCACGAGAACGGCGGTGAGTGATGCTACGTGAGGCATGAGAACGGCGGTGAGTGATGCTACGTGAGGCATGAGAACGGCGGTGAGTGATGCTACGTGAGGCATGAGAACGGCGGTGAGTGATGCTACGTGAGGCATGAGAACGGCGGTGAGTGATGCTACGTGAGGCATGAGAACGGCGGTGAGTGATGCTACGTGAGGCATGAGAACGGCGGTGAGTGATGCTACGTGAGGCATGAGAACGGCCGTGAGTGATGCGTTTATGATGTAAGTACGTGATGAAAGGTTGGTGAATGTGACGTTGTGTGATGTGCTTGTCACATGAGAACAGACGTGAGTGTATTGCAGTATAGCGTTTCGGTGCCCTGATTTTAAATTTATCAGTCCAAACGAAAAATATTGTTCGATACGATATATTGAAAAAAAATAAACTAATAAACTAATAAAACTAATAAACTAATAATAAAAATTGTCAAATCTGTCATCCTATATACTAATATGAGAATAAAATTGAATGTAAATCTACACGTGCTGGTAAAGCAGTATCTAATTTTTTTAAGCAAAGTTGCAACAGATTCAAGACCTACTCTTCATCAGGTTATCTTGCCATCCTGATTCTTACGGACAACTCAAAAATGTTTTTGCGATGGTGTTTGCTGACCAGACAATCCATGGAAGATGAGCCACAAAATTCTATGCATGGTTTTCTTGTTTATTTGAATGCTGATATCATGAAGATAATTTCATTCACTAAACAGGAGTTGTTCAACAGTCGTTATTCTGACGATGTATATATACCGTAGTAGTGATATGACCGGACTTGCTATCTTATCGCCGTATCTCCTGATAATAGACTTGTATTCAAATACCTTTCTCTGCTCTGCAGTTTATATGATGCTCCGTGCACCGTGAAGTCCTTATTGTTCTCTTCAGTTGCAATTATTTTGATTCATTTTCTGAATAACCTTGAGTTTCTCTGTGAGTTTAACTGTCTCCTGTAAAGTGCACTGAAGTATTCCTTGTACTTTCATTTGAAACACTCGGATATTATTTGATCTTTATTTATAAGTTGTGCTTTATACCAAGCGACTTCGTGTTCGCTCTTCAAATATTGTTTCGCCGGTCGAAGTTATTGATAAAAAGTGTGTGAGACGAGAACTTTGGTACAGTGCTGATGGTAAGAGAAGTAGTAATTCTTATGGGTTTTCATTCACATGTAGAAGCTGGCTTACTTCCAATTCTGAGACTTTATTCGTGATTTTATGTAGCCTTCTTTTGAAAGTCTTGAGGTACGTTTTCGTAGAATTTTCCATTTAAATTTTGCTTACTTTGAAACTATGAAAATTTTATTCCCGTTGTTTTTACCTCGAAATAATGCTTATTAAAATGCTCACTATTGTGCACTGTACGTACATGATTTAATCTGCCGCCTAAATCCAATATAAAGTATTTGTTCTCGATTCTATTTCCGAATAATGGTAAACTTGGTTAAATCTGTCTCAGTATTAACAAATTGTGAATTTCAAGAGCATGTCTGGGTTACTTGACTGAGATGTGTAGTATATTCTGGAAAGTAATGTAGCAGTAACCGCCTTGTCAAGTCTCAAATACCTGGGAGATACTTGAATTACGAGAGAGTTCTGCTAAAAAAATTTGGACCAAATTCTTGTACCCATTAATAGTTAGTTATGCATAAAATTTGGTTTATGTTATGTGCCTTAATTTATTGGTAGTTAAGCTTGAAGTTGGAGCTTCGAAATAAGGTTATTTTCGTACTCACTTAGCGCTTAATCTATGGAAATCTCATAATTATTCGTTGAACGTAATTTATTGTGAACTATTATTTATTGACAAATGTTTGTTTTGGTTCAGAGGAGCGGCGGTTGGCAGACGACGAAAAGCCCTTGCTGGTGCAGCTGAACTGGAACAAAGACGACAGAGAGGGACGCTTTCTGCTGCGCCGTGTCGACCTGTCGGGGGTGGGTTGTGCAGTATATACACGGTTGCCGTTTGTGGTGATGGGCTGGGGCGTGTCGTGTATTTGGGTATGGGACACGGGTGAGGCTGGGACACGGATGAGGCTGGGACGCTCCTATTGTGGTAATCCCTGCGAGGGAAGAGTTGGGGGAGTATTGGAAATGGGAGCCTCGTCTGCCAGGACGCGCGAGGCGTGAGATACGGGCCGTGTGAGGTTAGGGACGTGAGAGGCGTCAGGCACGGATGAGGCCATTGCGCTCCTCTGAGGCCAGTTCCTGCGAGTAGCTCAAGTCTTCCTTCAAAATGAAGGTCTAGTTGCTATGCGGTCTGTCAGACCTTAACATGCTCTATGTAACATATAGTATTACGCGGCGTGTTGCGAGTGACACCGCGGGATGAAATGAGCCAAGCCTCGGTTCCGCTGTGTCACTGCGCTGCGGGAAGCTTGTGCTCTTACCTGAGGCAAATCCTGGCGAGGGTGTTTTGTACTAAAAACTATAAAAAAATCAGTGTTATCCTTCTCGTTACAGAGCTGCCTGAAACATCCTTCTCGTTACAGAGCTGCCTGAAACATACTTCTCGTTACAGAGCTGCCTGAAACATGTTTCTCGTTACAGAGCTGCCTGAAACATCCTTCACTCGCTCCATCAGTAACCCAGAGGCCGTCATGCGAAGGCGTCGCGCTCAGAAGCTCGAGAAGAAATTACAGCAATTCAGGAGTAAAGATGGCGGCCCTGACACAGGCGGCACCTTAAAGGTTGGCTTCCTTAAAAAGATTAACATTATTTTTTCTCAACTAATTAAGGTAACCAGCCAATCTCTTTTTTTTTTATTTGTACTAGCGGTACCTTTCCGGTCAGTGTCATTGTCGCGGCCTTGCGTTCTGGATTTGATAGCCATACTTGAATACCATTTAAATCGTTCATTTATAACATTGATTTATGAGGGTTAGTATTTTAGCAATATTTGTTTGCGGCGAATTTGTTCATTTTTTGTCCTATTCGGCTTGATTAAAATTATTTCCCATCACTAGGCCTTGCTTAGATATAACCAATGAACTTCTTCTTACTACTTCCCTGTTGTACGTGTTACTCTTCTCATACATGGCATCGTTCTTGGTCCTGTTACTCTTGTGCTCTTCTTACTCTTGTTGCTATGCTGTTGCCACCTTCACCCCAATCACTCTCGCTATCCACGTAACCCCGTCATCTTCCCTTCCTCACCCTCATCCCCACTTCGTCACCCCGTCATCCCCCCCTCGTGACCCTCATCCCTCCCCTCGTCACCCCGTCATCCTCCCCTCGTCACCCCGCCATCCCCACTTCGTCACCCCGCCATCCTCCCTTCGTCACCCCGCCATCCCTCCCCTCGTCACCCCGCCACCTCCCCTCATCACC